GACAATCAACACGTCATCTTTCATTTTCCTTACAATTTTTGGTGGGTTGACCGTTGACTTTTCGAGAAATTCCCACCCAAAGAAGACGACCCCTAAAAACGATTGATGTTTCCCAATGTGGAAAAGTAGCCATCTTGAAAAAGGATCCCTCCACAACATGCCCAGCTAAAAAGCGCCTTTTTCGGGCCCGATTGCATCCAAAATGCTCTTAATTGGAAGCCCCAAGTCCGGGCCAGAGATGCATTGCTATATCTCATATCTCAATTTCCTAATTCCATGGCTCTCAGAACTTTCCAATATAGAATAATTTGAGTGTCAATTTTATTCACGAATGAGCTCGGCGGACGGACTCGGGGCCTATTTACTTGTGTGTGCCCATAGCCAATCTTCGATAGGGATGTAGCATGTAGGTGTGAGCGGAGTAGGCCAAAGAGCGCCCTCTACATCAGCTCCAGCACGAAACACATAACACTACAGTAATAGGAAGGATTTTCGACCCATTTCGTTTCCCTTTTTGAGAGTAACGATCCGTCGCACTGAGCAGATCAGCCCGATTATTCGCCGGTCTCAGCGGGGCCATCCTAAGTATAATCCTCTTTATACTTGACTGGCTGACAGCCACTTTTGAACTAGACTTGCATAATTTGCAATTGGATTGATTATCCCGTTACGCCACCGATCAAACGGGCTAAATCCGGCCCATTGTGTAGGCCACACTAATTATGAGCAAACCTGACCCAAATTAAACCGAAACCCCCGAAACAGTTGAGACATTCAGGTGATGCAATAATATTGACAGTCACTGTGACCGCAGTCCATTGTGTGGTGTGGCCAACGTGGGCATTATCAAGTTCACACGGTATTAATTTCTCCAGTCGGATCGGGACTGACAGTGAAATAGATAGATTGCAACATTTTATGTGATATACCGCGTGGTGATACCATGCGTGTGTTCAATGTGCGGAGATACTCTCGATGGTTAAAACGCACCTGTCAAGCTTCGGCTTGATTTCCTACTTCTGGTATTTTAACCCACTGAGTATATGGGAGAGAGAGAGACGATAGATTTGCGAAAGAATTCATGCCACGTGGGTATAAGGGCATGCATGCAGGCACAAAAAAGTGATCACTTTGTCCAAGCCAAATATTCGGGGATTTTTTCCGGGTCGGTTCGCGCTCGGGTCGATTCGGGTTTTCGGGATTCGGGTTTTACCTTATATTTTGTCGGGTCGGGTCGGGTCGGTTTGTATCTGTTTCGGGTCGGTTCGGCCTGGTCAACCCGACCCGATGCACACAAGAGTGTTCCAGTAAATATACCCAGCACGATTTGTGACAGAGTGGTACCCTTCCCCCATGTCTATACCCTATACACACCCCTAGACTAGCACCCCCCCCCCCAGATATCCGTTCCTGAGATTCTGGTAACACAATGACCAACACGGGGGGTCCCTCTGTCACATATCTTGCTACATAATATTATGCAAAAAGGTGGCCATTCTGCGATTCGATTGAATCAAAATGCTGTGTGGTCTTGGACCAGTTTATCTTGGATTGCCTTGATGTGTTTTAACTTTCTTTTCTTTCAGCAACACAATAAAACAAAAACGACAATGAAATACTTCAAGTTTATCAACTAATAATTCTTAAAATCAACCAAGGTAAAAACTAATCATCGGGTTGACTTAAACACAGAATGAGAACAAAAATCGCAACGAAGATATCAATGCCTTTTCGTAGGTGATTGTACACTGAATGATGAATCAAAATATGTAGTGATGTGTCTGGATACATATAGGATCGCGTGCGTGAAAGTGAAATATATTGCTGTCTTACTTCCGGATTATTGAAGAAGTAACAACTTGTTATTCTTATACGATGATGTTTTGAATAACTGTTGCTCCCCTCCCCCTTTAAAGCTATTTCAAATTCGAAATACTGTGATGTTTTATTTCTTTGGATTAAAGTGACTGAAATTTTTCTTGACATGATATTTGAAATTCCCAGCATAGATAACTTAAAAACTGCACTATATACTGTTTGATATCAGATTTTTTGTCAGCTTTGGAAGCATTCCTTGGATTGATTCCTAAATCAAAGAGCCCCATGCGAACTAGATGCACAATCCGTTGCAAATTCGAAGGGGGGGGGGGGCGGGGGGCTAAACATCATTCATCAATAGAAGGCGCCCTTTTCATACACTAGTACACTATAATTGTGGAACCTACAAAAAGTGTGTGGGGGGGGGAGCCCCATGGAAAAAGTGGGGGGGGTAAGGGCTCCCATGGCCCCTCCGGTTCCGCTGCCAGTGTTTGCACATGAAAGTGATTGATCTTTAAAGTTTGGTGCAACAAAAAGTGTGTTTTTAAATTTCTTTTTGAAAATCGGCTACATTTGATAGATAGACCAAAAAGTCTGCAACGTTTTGAGTGCCGCGATTTCATTTTTATTAAGACAGATACCCGATAGCATAAGTCAAAAGTCATATCCAAATCACTGTGCAGTTGCTTTTTGCTGAAGACATTAATGGCTTACCAGCCGAGATTGGTTGAAATAACTCTCCGTCGGATCCAGCAACTTGAGAGAAGACATCACGTGGAACGTGACGATCCACGGGTCTGGAATACGAACCGTCAGCATAGTCTTCTTAGGCCGAGTGAAGCCTGGCCACTGAAAGTAAAGCGCTGTCAAACTTGCAATATTGAGAAAAGAGAACAACCGTCGACGGAAAGCTTTAAATCAAGAGCGAAAACAATCTCGATAGATTATGTGCGCTTAACCCTAAAAGGGCCGGGTTATTTTGATCATCTCTCCGCCCCCCCCCCCCCTAAGATCTCGGCCATCGATTGACGAACAATTTTGAAACTCAGTACATGCATAGAACAACTCTTCCGTAACATACCCAAGCAATTTCATGACTATAGGTCAAAGGGTTTTGGAATTGTGGGTAATTAATTATTCATATGTACGAATGGTAATTCTGCTCTGAGTACACGACGTATATTGGAAAATTCAGTTTTCACGACGCCTAACGCCGGGAAATGGTTCGCTACGCGGCAACCCGAGTTCCGATTATTATGTTTTTGGTGTCAAAAGATGCGCGAAAACAATTTTTTTTAGAGGCTATCACGGAAAATGTTGAGGGGGGGGGCGGATTCCCCGGCCCTTTTAGGGTTAAGGTACAGTTCATCATTTGTTTTTGGTTCATTATTTCGTTCGAAGCAGCAAAAGTGCAACGTCTTTAGACGCATCTTTGGAAATGAACTTCTTTCACTATTTTCTTCAAAATGACACCTTGCCAGAAAGAATAATTCACAGGGATTTTAGCCCCATTACTATCTTTTAACCATGCTCCTTTCAACAACAATTTCGTCAGTTACTTTTTTGATAGCTAGCTGCAAATGATGGACTGTACCTTTAAGAAAAGCGGATCAATACTACGATGGACTGTACCTTTAAGAAAAGTGGATCAATACTGCACACACACATCGTACACATTCCACTTGTTGTTTTGTGACTCGTGCTTCTCCAACGTAACAATGCGGGCTTGAGAGGGACGTGACAAGAGAGGGCGCTGTTCTGCTGTTCTGCAAACTCATATCCTCAGTGTTCTAACTGTGCGGCTCTGAAAGCTTCTCTCTCGGTGCTTCACTCTTTCAAATGCCCTGTCATAGACCTTACCGTTGCAGGAGCAACGTAATGATGGTGTTAATTCATTTCAATTTAGTGACAATGGATGCACAAAAGGTTTGCGGGCAATTAAGGGCTGAAAATGCACACATTCATTTATTTCAAATAATATTATTCAATTAGTAATGCTGAGAAATACAATACAGCATCTAATAAAACTATAATTCCAGGAATCTCTGTGTGTCTGTTTGTGTCTGTACTTCGATTATCTCCAGAACCGGGCATTGTATGAAGTTGATAATTGGCGGATGTATTGCTCGGGACCCCCGAATGTGCAGTGTCAAGTTTAAAGCTGTTTGGATGAGCGGTTATCGAAAAAGCTCCAAAAAAGCTGCAAATTAGCCCCATTTGTCTCATAAACGATTTGGCCTGGAGCTGTGCGTGTGTGCATAGAGCTAGCTGACCTTCACTGGGAGGCTATTCCATTATCAACAACGGGTACTTCACTGGGGGATATTCAATTATCAACAATGGGTAAGTAAACAATAGCACACTTTTCTTCCTCACGTTTTCTTACTATAATTCGAGGAATCTCTGTGTGTCTGTCCACATGTAAAAAAAAAAAATAAAATGTGCGCCGTACAACCTGAGAGTGTGCGTTCAACCTGTGAACACAACACCATTGAATTGTGTGCGTTGTTTGCGTGAGCAGCCCTCAAAAACCTTGCAAGCAACTAATAGTACTTTGCCCCTTCCGAGCAGGCACATTTTCAACGGGCAGTGCACTGGTCTATTTAATACACGTAAAGAGCAGTCACTTTATAGTCATTCCCAATGTCAATATATAAAAAAATATTGGTATAATGAACCGTCTAAAATATATTTACTAAAACAATGTAATAGGGATAATAACGGCCTAGATTACTGTCTTACACCGGTGTTTGTGCTCTGTCTTTCCATGTATGTCTGTCACTTGTCTGTCTGTCCATAGGCTGGGGAACAAAAGCTTATGCTTCACCCCGGACCTCGATGCGGCTATTTAGTTAATGTTCACTATTGTAAATATATATATATATGTACATGTATTGCCAATTTGAATATATAACATTATGTATCGTCCTTTATGCAACATCGAAATAAATATATGTATCTCAAAAAAAAATATTACAATTGTAAAAATATCACAGGTCACAGAAACAGTTCACACAGACCCGACAAATGAATTCTGGACAGAACACTATAGTAATTCACAGTCCCTCTATCATCGATTCTGACTTCCAATTGTAAGGGGGCATGAACCAGTCCTGTGAGCAGTGCGCATGCATCATGCCATACAACACAATGTTCAGATGGTCCTCTGACGTCATCATGATTTATTCCCGTCGCTGAAGCCGTGCGAGAACTAACAGGCCGACCAGTGCTAGCGCGTTGATAGCGGCCATCAGGATAAAAGCCAACGTGTAACTGCCGAATGTGTCGTAGATTAATCCTACGGAGAAAATGGAAAATACACATCAAACCAAACAACAAACAAACAAAATCGTCTAGGTGAACTTAAAATGGAATCGGATAGACAAAAAAAAATGGAACAAAAACAATAACATCGTACTCAAATCTGTCATTTGTTTTACAGTGAAGAATCACAGCTGGCCGTTGAGTCTGTGTGGTGTGATTGTGCATTCTTAAATAAGCCGGTTTGCTATTTCCATTGTATGAAGCCCGGGAAGGGACAAGGTGGATTTTTTTTTGGGGGGGGGGGCATTTCCTAATTCGTTCGCACGAATTACTAATTCGTTCGCACGATTTACTAATTCGTGCGAACGAATTAGTAAACTCCAAAAAAAATTCCACCCTGTCCCTTCCCGGGCTTCATATCATACCATTGCGATTGCGCACATCAGCATGTTTTATTTTTTTGTGCGGGATACACGATTCGCTGTATACACGTGCAAAATTGTGGTTGCAATGTGCCTTTTTTTTTGGTCACGGTGCGTTAACTCTGCTCAGTGTACGTGGTTGCATCTGAAAGGGTGCTTTGTCGACTCCCTAGCACACCTTACTACGGATCCTTCTGTCTTGGATAAGCACTTAAAAACCGCCTTTTTTATCCAAATTGATCTGCTTCGGTGGTGGTAACACAATAATGTACTTAGTCCTAGTAGCTTTTGTGGACTTAAATTTCAAACGTGGATGCGGTCGAACCAATCTCAAGTCCCTGCAAGTCCTGCAAGTCCTCCAGTCCCAATTCCACCCACGATGTGTTCAAATGAACTTTAGCAAACAGGGGCGGATCCAGGAATTTTTGCAGGGGGGGGGGGTTCAGGCCTGTCATTTTTGTTTTTAAGCAGCAAATCAGTGCTGAAATGTAGGCAGGTTTACTTCTTCGTAAAATCAAAAACTGGGGTGTGTGTGGGTGGGGGGGGTGGGGGGCTTCTATAATCTTCCAAATGGGGCGTTGTTCAAATCAGCCGATCATGCACACTATTGCACAATAGTATGCAAATACCCCTCCCCTTACTCCCGCTGGCTTTTCATCTGTGTCTGAGAGTTCCCTCTCCCACCCAGTGTTTGACAACGGCACTCATATTGTTAATCCAATGTATCTTGTCACCTGACTTGTGACTGCCATGTGCCTGACTCGACTACATTCTGCTTTCAAACACCAGCCCACAGTGATGACATTTTATCACAGTGATGTACAGTGCATTCAGCCTACGAATCGACAACATGTGGAAAGAGATGGTTTTCAAAATGTCTATTTTCAAATCAATGGTGTTAATTCACAACAGCATGGCAGCAAAAGAAGGTGTCGCTGGAAAGCTGATAAACATTAAGGCCATTTTTTTATTAGCATTTGTTTGACAGTATACATTTTGTTGTACCCTGCACACTATTGAACATGCACGAGAATAGTCACAGCTGCAGTAGAATACAAATGGTGTTATTGGGAAGCCTACCTGGAAAGAAGAGGATTAAAGCTCGGACGAGGCCTGCTTTCAATCCGATCCAACCCAGAGCACTTCCCAATTGCCCCAAGCCAACAGATTCCTTGGCTATGACATCCATGAGAGTGTATAAGAACGAATGGAAGCAGCCGTAGATGAAGACGTACACCATGATGGACCAATACGACACCAAGATCGGATCTACCAGATAACAGGCCGAACTAGCGAACAAACTGAGTCCCATCCATGCGTTCGTGCCGACGGCCTTACAACTGTCGAAAAGACCGGTTAGGAGATTTCCAACTATCTTTGCAACGCCGAACACCGTTAAGAAGGCGGCAGCATCTGCGAGAGAGAAGCTCTTGGACAGAGTGGCGTTCAGTGCGAAGTACACGACCCAGGCTGTGTTAGTTACCGTCGTACACACGAATACGAAAACTACCAGCCAATACTTTGGGGAGGTAAACAAGTCAATCTTAAAAATATCTTTCATGGTTGCCAAGACAGAGTGACGTTTCTGACTCGAGTCCACTGCTGATGTACCCCCAGTAACCAACTCGTAGTCGCCGTTTCTTTTGCCTGTTTTCTGGTTTGTTCTGAACAGTGCTCCACAGATTACCAGGTGCGATAACAGGGAACCAAGCAGCATGGTGGCTCCTCGCCAGCCGTAGACGTCCAGTAGAAACTGCGTCAAAGGTGCAATGACGACAAACGCCAGCGAGCCGCCGCTGGCGCCAATCCCGAATGCTCTTGTGTGCGTCTCGGGGTAGCACTGACCAATCAGCTCCCTCGTTACAATGTTGGAGACTCCCACTGCAGGAGCTGAAATAAATAAATCAAAAGATAATATTATTCTGTGACGTTAAACACAATGTCAAAAGTAAACAAAACGGTGCGTCTCCACATAATTATTCCGAAGACAGAATAGAACATCGATCGAAGTGCAAGAAAGTGAAAATGCACCGTGCATGACGATAAACATCCAGACCGACGGCCTCAGGGGTGCTTGCAGGTTGCACACACAGTGCTTGTCGTAATACACAAAGAATCCTAAAATTAAACGAGTCTAATTTATTAGGCGAAGTTTGATTGGGATTCTACCGACCTATTATGACAAACGAAAGAGATTACGTGAGATAGCGCTCACCAGCCAGCCTTCATTCTTAAAAGCACAAGTCAAAATTTTCGTATTAACGACAAGGGAGGGATCCATTAATAGTGCAAAACGGGAGGGCACGTAATCTCTTTCGTTTGTCATAATAGGTCGGTAGAATCCCAATCAAACTTCGCCTAATAAATTAGACTCGTTTAATTTTAGGATTCTACCTCACCATTATGACGTCACTCCAGAGATTACGTGAGATGTTTAGAGCACGAAAAAGTTTGACTTGGAAAAAAGGGAAACAAAACAGTGAAAATACTTCAACATTTCCAATTTCTAGTCCTTGTTTTTAAATGTGAACTTATTATGTAAATTAATCATACACCTTCTTTCTGAATTATACATAAATAATTATTCTATCAGAAGTTACTGGAAACATATCTCTGTTTATGGTGGATTGATCATAAGTATCGTGACAGTTTATCGGTTTTTATTTAAAACTGAAGTAGAAAATGCAGGTTTTTCAATTATAGGTTTATTATAAAACTTGGCGAAAGTCTGTGCGCCGGACCATCCTGCAGTCTGTAAGATGAGCTGTATCGGAACTCCTGCAGTAGCAGCTGCTGAAGTGGAGGCCGACCGTACACTGTGAGCTGTAAAAACACTCGTGTCAATTCCTGCAGACTTGAGCATATCTTTAATCCACCTGCTTATACTGTCTCTAGACAAAGCTTTAAACGGTTTTTGAAAACTGATAAACAAAACTTTTTCTTCACCACGAACAATACTTGTTCGTTTTATATATTCTGACAAATTGGTAACAATACAAAGATCGGGATTCTCTGAAAAGATCGGTAAAACCAAATCGGCTTGATGTACTCCTGGTCTACTTTGTTTTAATAAACTTCCTATTCTAAGGTGACACTCTTTGTCAGATATTAATACATCCTCAATGCATATTAGATGCAATGTTTGGATTCGCTGAGCTGTCACTAGAGCCAGCAACGTAACTACTTTTTTACTCAGCAACTTCAAGGATAGCTCATTTGTGCTACCTAATGACTTCAGAAAATTTAGCAAAACACCAACGTCCCAAATTGTTTTGTAACGAGGGAAAGATGGTCTACAATTAAATACCCCTTTCATAAATCTGGTGGTTAATGCATGACTGCCAAAAGTAACGCCATCTATGGGCAAAATAATGGACGAAATTGCCGACCTGGCAGAATTAACAGAACTATAACTGAGACCACCATCAAATAAATCTGTTAAGAATTGTAAGGCATTGCCTATTGTCGGTTTTATAGGGTTAATTCCATGTTGGCTACAAAAGGAGTCCCATCTCCTTAAATATGAAGCATACTGTTTTTGTGTCTTGCTTCTCCACGAAGCCACGATGATCTCACTTGTCCGGTTTGAAATACCTGTGCTTGCAAGTCGTTCCCGGATATGTGGCATGCCAGTAGTGACAACTTTGGCTGAAGTGGATGCACCGCTGATTTGTTCTGCGGTAGCTGGAGTGGCTGTAGAAAAGCTGGGATGAGTATTGGTTCTGCTTTCAGCATATGTATTAGCTTCGGAAACCAAAACTGGGTTGGCCAGTTGGGAACAACCAGAAGTCCCTCTGCCTGATCGTTTTGAATCTTCTGGAGAACTCTGCCGATTAGACTAAAAGGAGGAAAAGCATAAAAGCTGTAAGTCTCCCAAGACAGCATGAATGCATCTATTGCAATAGCCTCTGGATCATGTTTCCATGAAACATAAGGTTTAATCTGATAGTTTATTCTTGAGGCAAATAGATCAATATTTGGATTAATAAGCCTTGCACTTATTTGTTCAAAGATATATGGCTTAAGCATCCATTCCCCATCAACATTCATTCGTCTTGATTCAATATCAGCCACCACATTCTGTTTTCCTGGAATGTGAGCTGCACTAAGCCAAATATGCTTTGCTTTAGCCCACTGCCACATCTGGCATGTTATTACATCACAATCTGTAGAATGTATTCCACCCATATTATTTATATGTGCAATAGCTGTTGTGTTATCAATAGACAAACGCACATGTACATTCCTGCATTTCTTTGCAAAAGACTTCAATGCAAAGAAAGAGGCAAGAATTTCCAGAATGTTTATGTGAGCCTTAGCTTCTTGAGGTGTCCAATGGCCCCCTGTTCGTATACCATTACAAACAGCGCCCCATCCTGAAAGGGATGCATCTGAAGTAATGAAAACATTTGGCTTTGAGTTTATTACACGTAAACTTCTACTGGCTTCAGTGGATTCAATATTTTCAATCCACCAGTTGAGGTCATTTAATGCCTCTTGTGACAAACTCATTTGAGTATCGAAATCTCCGTCACTTTGTTGTAATGCTCTTATTTTGTCTTTTTCGACATGCCGGTAATACAGTTGGCCAAACATTACACCTGGGAAATTGGATACTATCATGCCAACAACCTGAGCCACTTCTCGTATAAGCAGTGACTCTTTTGCAATCAAATGTTGACATTTTCCCTTAAGTTTTTCTGCTTTATGTGATGTTGGGGAAATCGACATATCTTTCGAGTTAAACACGAAACCTAGGAAAGTTATTTCCTGTTCGGGAATAAAAACCGACTTTTTGTCGTGAACTACAAAGCCTGCTTGGGCCATGAGTTGTTTTGTCGCCATCACATTCTCATAACATTCTTCGTATGTTTTCCCAAACAATAAAGAATCATCAATGTACGCAACTGATTGAAAACCTTGGCCTCTGAGAGCCGAGTAGATGGGTTTCATTAGTTTGGTAAATAAACGTGGAGCTGAAGCAAGCCCATTTGGGAGACAGCTGTACTGATAAATTGTATCACCCCACTGAAATTTCAGAAATGTCCTATGTTCAGTTGCAATTGGCACTGAATAATAGGCGTCTCTCAGATCGATCGATGCCATGAAACAGCCATTTGTCATTAAATTTATCGCCGATTGCAATGTTTCCATCTTAAAATGGTGGTATTCCACATGTCGATTTAACGACTTTAAATTCAAGATCATTCGGTATGTACCGTCTTTCTTCGGCCGCAAAAATATATTTGATATGAATTGTCCCGGTTCGTGATTTGTTTTTTCGATAACTCCTTTTTTAAGAAGTTTGTCAACTTCTTGTTGCACAATATTTTGCTCAGAAATATTCAAAGAATATTGCTTTGCTATGAACATTTGCCTCGGGATAGATTCAAATTCAATGTGCAGTCCCTTTACAATGTTTAAAATTGTTGGATCTGAAGTAATACTATTCCAGGTTGATAAATAGTTTTTTATCCTTCCAGCTACATTTGAGCTTGCTTTAGCTTCACTGTTTTCAGTAAAGTTTGTGCTAACCTGTGCTAACCTGGAGGTAGTACTTGAGACAGCTACGGGCGTGTCACTGTGCTTTGGCCCCGCCTGTATCCTCGTCCCCGGCTCTGGTTGCTTCTTGCCGGTTGACCCCTTTGGTATGGATACGACTGGTTGTGCATGTACTTTTTTTTGAAGCCATTGTTCGACCTGAATAATGTCTGTACCCAAAGCTTCTGCTGCGTCCTTCAGTTTGACGACCAAGTTTATTTCCAACTTTGTTGGTTGTTTTTATGTCATGAACTGCTTTGGTCAGATCGTCCCCAAAAAGAAGTTGTGTAATTGGGACAGATGGAGCGCATAGGCGTTGATACTGAGTATTTAAATCGGGACGCATTAGCTCCCTACGCCTAAGATTCAATTCGATGTTGGCATTAGCCATGAGTGTTATTGTATCCGTGGCTAATTTCACCTCGTCTTTGACGCTTTGCTTAGCCAGTAATTTCTCCGTTAATTGGAGTAAAGGAACAAATGCTGAGACAAGCAATTTCTGGACTCTCAAGAATTTTAAGTCTCGTGAGCGAGTGCCAGGTTTGAGTAACGCCCATATTTCTGGGTTGACTTTGGTTTTCATTAACTTGGTACAATTCTGAGGCCTGCAATAAGCTTTTTGCTTTTCAGCCAATTTCTCATCTGACAGTTTCGTCATGAGAATTTTGTCAGTCAGAGTAGCGAGCTTGTCTTTGACTTTGGGCCCAACCTTATCGTCTGCTTCGTACTCCTGTTGAATGTCACCCAATAGGTCGTCATTTGACGAGCAATTTTGTTCACCTTCCGAAAGAAGTCGTTTGAGTTCAGTTTCTGTGTCATCAGACTCTGAGTTGGTGACGGAGTCAGGAACAACCACGACTGATTTCAGTCGTTTGGCTTTCGTCTCGGGCACATTGGTGCTCGAGGAGCTCCGCTTGCATTCTTTGTCATATCCTTTGTGAGCTGCCTCCAGGAATTCAGTTGTGAATTGTTCAAAGCCCGCTTTCATTGCTTGCGTTATGGAGTTATTTAGCTCCTGCCACGGTTGAGTGGATGCAGACATTGAGGCTTGCTCGGCTACGCCCTGTAATGGCCGACTGACTGAGGTTGCATTAGGGGAAATGTGTGCATGTTTAGACAATTTTGTCTTACCTTTGCCCTTCAAAGTCTTTTTCCCCGCAGTGTTCAATGGTTTTTGAACTTCTGTTTCGGAAGGTTCGGAATTATTGGCTATTAAGCCATGTTCCAGCATGTCCTTGGGTGCGGAAACCTGTCCTGACGGTGTAGGGTGTGGAGACAAATCTGAAAACTCCCCGAAGTCCAGAACACTTTCAAGAATTTCGTATGCCATTGCCAATTAAAGCAGTAGGCCTACAGATAGATGTGCTTAATCTATAATACGATACATAAGCATCGGCCTATGCACATAATAAGTGAAGAGAGAACGGAGTTTGCGTCCGTTCTTCAGCTGGCTAGATCGCACAATGAAGGCTGGCTGGTGAGCGCTATCTCACGTAATCTCTGGAGTGACGTCATAATGGTGAGGTAGAACCATAGTCAGAGAATGTAACTGTATGGAATAGGCTTGCTGATCGCTTAACCAAAATCTCCGATGAAAATATGTTGACAACTGACAACTAAGAAACTATTGTAATAAAAAAAATCGTACCCGTACCCGCACCCACCCCAGCGGAAGGAATGGGGAGTCAGGTTGGCTCAAAGTTACGGACCGCGACTTCTACCTCCGTGACCCAAATTATAGTACCAACCAGGTCGACATCTCGATTGGGACTGCAGTCCCAACCTGATTCTGTAGGTTCCCCCAGAAAATAAATATCGAGGGTTTGATACCCAGCTCTTAAACTGACCAGCTGCCAAATGTAGTGTCCAAGTGATGTTAACTCGTCAGGCTTGCGAGCTCTAACGTCATCGGCACTTTTCAAGGTGCCTTTGGTTTGTTTCCCACGAAAACATACTAAAGCTACCACAATCAGCATTATAATTTAACATTTAACTCTGCAAACTGTTTGAAACATTCTGTCTGACTCTTATAAGCTGAAAAGTTGTAAACGCTGACTTAGTTTCCGGGTCAAGATTCTGGGTCTTTTTGACCCGGAAAAGTGTCCTTTTCGCTCGGAAAGTGTCAAGTCAAATTATAACCCTTGGTAAAGGGGAAAAATCTGCAACAATAAACCGAAAGACATTCTTGGATCACTTATAGCCCTATGTTGGCTTTGCTGGACGGTACCACCGACTTCATGATGCAAAAGAACTATCCCAACGGAAAGATTATTTGTGCTGATGTGCTGATGACAATAGTGTATAGAATGTAACTATTACCGTAAGCGACAGTAACTACTGAAATGTAGATAATTTCTGGTACAAATACATGTTTATTAAAAAGGGGGTGGTTATGTGAACGTGTGGCTATCGGATCTACCAATATTGTACTGAAGGGATCATTATAACAGTATGTATCCGCAATATGGATATAAATGAGATCTTTATAATCTACAAGTAAACGAACTGATATTTTTTTTCTGCTTACCTGCAACTAAAGCTAGGACCAACGTCACCACAGCTAGACTCGATACAAGCGACGATACGATGAGAGACGCACCAACCAACAAACCGCTGACCACGACGATCGTTCTCACGCCAACTCGTCTTTTCATTGGCGAAGCCAGGGGACCTCATGAAAAAAAAAACAACAAATTAACTCTAAAGAGAAGCGTTTAGCATTTGGCAAGCGCCAGAGTGTAACCAAGTCATTTTTTTCCAAGTCAAGTCAAGCCCCAAGTCAAATTTTAGCAAATCAAGTCAAGTCTCATGTCAATTGTTTTCCAAGTCAAGTCAAGTCTCGGGTCAATTTTTCACGAGTCAAGTCCCAAGTCAAATTTTTTTTTCCAAGTCAAGTCAAGTCTCGAGTCATTTTTTTTTTAAATATTATATGTACATACTACGTACGGGAACCAGTTTCTGTGTTCGATCGACGAACGGGGTAGAGATAGGAATGGGGTTTATCAAAGCGTGCATCATGTAAGGAGATAAAACAAATTATACTTTCAAACAGCCTCCCTGAAACACCTTATTTTTATCTTAAGAGTCTTAAAACGCATTTGATATAAAATTTTCAAATGTGTTCCATTATATGTTGCAAGTTTGAAGGACGTCTGACAAAAATGACCTTCTGAACGTTTTCGTTTGATGCATGATGTGAATTCCTTTCGCTTTATGGCGTATTGCGGGTAGCAGCCGTTTTCCAGTCATTTAAACCATGTTGCATATGGCACGCTTACGGTAAACCACTCAATGTGTATGTGTAGCCTTTCGACTCTATGGAATGACCACTCTATAACAACGGATGGTACTCAGACTACGCACGGCACAAACTTCACCTCGCATGCACGAGGTCGAGTATGATACGTTGTCCACAATTCACAGCGGGCAAAATACGTTGAAATAACGTTGAAACAACTTCAGATACTGATGTTGAACTAACGTTGAATAATGATTGAATTTGCAAATTGATCCGACGTAGAAATGCCGACATTGAAACAACGTAGAGATTACAACATTGACATTTCAACATTGATTTAACGTCGACATCTCTACATTGAAATAACACTGATATGATGTTGGATTGTAAATTGAATCAACGTATAAATGGTCAACATTAAATGACATCGTATCCGTACCAATATCACAGTTAAATAAATTAAATTCTTGAATCAACAAAGACATTTTAATTTTTTTTTAGATCAAGATTTAAAGCCGGAATGTACTAATAAATGTGGATGTTGGCATTTTTCGAATCGCTTTTTGTTAAATAAATTTGCAAGCTGAGGAGTGATGTTAAATCCAGGTCGTTAATTTAAGTCGTTATCACGACGTAATTTTAAACATTTTTCCAACATTAGAATATTGTCAAAATACGTTGGGACAATTACCAAACAGACGATGGATAGACATTTAATTTAGATTGTTGATATCGTGACGCAATTTAAACTTTTATTCAACGTCAGATTAATATCGAAATCTCTATGTTGGGACAATGTTAACAAACCGACGTTGAATAGACATTGAATTTTGGATGTCAATATCGCGACGCACTTTTAACCAAAATCAAACGTTAAAACAACGCCAAACTGTAGCATGAAATCAACGTCGCAAAAGTGACGTTGAAATAACGTCGTTTTACGGTATTTCGACGTCGTGAATTCATTTTAACCAATATTCAACGTTGAAAAAACGTCGTGTGCCCAACTGGTAATTTAACTGGTTTGAACTGGTAGGCTAAACTAGTCCTGAATCAGTTAGGCTAAACTAGTTCAAAACCAGTTCAACAGTAGTCACCATGCAATTTCCAGTGAACTGGTTAGAGTGTTTACGTGAGCTCGCAGGCTACCTCTGACCTACCTGCTAAATCAATGAAGCCGTCAAAGCTTGCTACCATCCAACCCACAAGCCACGTTTGACTGTCGAACTGTTCTTGTAGTGCTGGCAGCATCACGCCCATACCCTTGACGATGCCGATCCAGGCGAACCAGCTCGTGAAAGTCCCCAGGACTGCAACCCAGCCAAGGGCGCCGCCGGTGTCCACTTGCCTTCCTGTTGCTCTCTTCATCAGACCCATCGTTTATCATCGACTACGTGGTTTGTCCGGAATTTATATCTAGTTTGAACTGAGCAAACTGTCGAAGACGGGGATCCAGATCATCCAACGAGACAACACTGCTTTTATTTTACACTTTTCATGACCCTCTTCACTTGATCGAGCGGAGCTGTGATATGCCTACACAAGAAAAACGCCAACGTTAATTTGTGGACGTCCGCGGTCCAACTGCAAATCCAATATTTGCCATATCCACAAAGTGGAACGGGCATTGTTCACTGGCAACAAAAGAAGTTGATTCACCGTCTATATGCGCGAGCGCGCAGCAAAGTTATTTTGATTGGGAGTGAACGTAAAAATGGCATATTGATCATTCGTGCGGTAATGTCAGGGTTTTTTCTCCTGTCACCCGACCTCCTTAAAATAAAAATGGGGGAGGGGCTGGATACCACTTCCTATGAGGGCGCTGTTCAAAGCGGAAGCTCATGGGCTTTATATCGGATTATGTCGCGCTCTCTTAATGGCGGCACAATAGCCGACGTTACCGGGAGGTGAATTTCTTTTCCGTAGGTGGGTTGCATGAATAATTCAATAGTTTGAATCTTTCAATAGGTTCGATCGGGTCAGTATGTTTATTCATGAAACAGAACAATGATATCAAGAGTATTGCTATTAGTTTAGTCAACCAATTACCCTTAAAGTATTTTAATGTACAGACGTCGTCGAGCTACCACAGTAGACTGTAGTGGATAGCGTGACGAGCTATGGATATAAAGATCTCTGGTGCAAATCCACGTCGTCGATGCTCATTTTCATCGACACTTTTTCTTCTGAGAAATTGTCGTTGAGATAAATTTATTTTAGGGGGAAAAAGAGAACGAGAACCTAAGTGTCTAGCAACAATTTAAGGGAAAACTGAACTATGCATGACATTTGAGTAACCCACCTACGGAAAAAGTACTGGCGGGACGTTATAAAAGGTCAATTGTGAAAAAAAGGCACCAGTGAAAACAGTATAAATAGAGTCAAGCCTCAACGCACGCACACAACCAGACTGGTTGTGTTCCTGCGAATGTTTGTTAACCGTATACTCGTGAATGCACGTTGATGGAAAATGAATAACCACTACATCCTCTTTGCCCTAAAAGTGGTTTTTGGGGGACATAGCAAATGTTCGGGCCTATTAAAGGGTGCACGCCGCTAAATAGGCCTAAACCGATCCGCCGTGGAGGGATCATTTTTAAGATGGCTACTTTTACGCTCTGGGGAATAAAGGGGTCGTCTTCTTTGGATGAGAATTTCTCGAAAAGTCAGTGGTCAACCACCAAAAAAAAGGAAAAGAAAATGAAAGATGAAATGTTGATCATCATTCTTCTGTGCAGTTTAAATACCTGTGAGAGTTCTGAGTATTTTTAAAAGAACTTTGAAATATGTGCATTTAGCACTAGTGTCTATGGGAATTCTAATACAGGGTATCGGCCGACCAGCGTTGGAAAAAACTGGCTTTTTTCAAATACTGGCCCCAGTTGACCATCGCACTTGTTTGCAATCGATTACACACCTATGAACGGGTACAAGCCAGCTAGACTGGTTCCCTGACCTTACAATTCCCCAATATATGTAAACTGCTCTGTTTCTTCTTAAATGGAGTCAGGGAACCAGACTACAGGAAAATGATTGTTTTTCTTGGTTTTTATAGCATTTTCGAACCCAAAATCTCAAAAAGTCAGTGTAACTATATTTGATATATATTTCCAACCCCCCAATTCCATCCATTTCTGAAAATTACAGCAAAAGCAAATGATGTATATTCCCTTTAACCTTATACGACCAACAGTAAGGCCTGTATGAGACTGAAAGTATGAGATATTTAAATTAAAAAAAAATGTATATTACTCCGAAGGTGGTAAGGTGTCAGCTAGTGGTCAAATTGCAAATAAAATCGATCCAATGAACTTCAAAGACTCAAAAAATATTTGTACCACAAAGTTGAAGGAATTTTAATGGTAATGAAAAATCAACCCCCAACATTAAAGGGAATGTACAACATTTTGCGTTTGCTGCAATTATAAATGGATTTGGAGGATTGGTATGTTATAGTAAATGTTGTTACGCTGACTTGATTAGTTTTGTGTTCGTCTATGCTGGAAAAACCAAGAAAAACAATCATGTTCTTGTAGCCTGGTTCCCTGACCCCACTTAGGAAGAAACGGAACAATTTATAGCTTTTGGGGAATTGTAAGGTCAAAGAATCAGAGCAATGAAGCCTGACACTCAAAAAAATGTGATAGATGGATTGAGTTCAGAAGGTAAGTTAATGTCTGTGTGAGGTCTTTGACAAATGATCATATAAAACAAAGGGACAATACATTCCCTACAAGGAAACATTAATGGCGTCGTTTACGAGGGATTCCAAAACAATGCTATAGGAGGAATGGACGACGACAGATTCGAAAACGAGGTTTTAGGTGAAATGGACGACAGAAAATATATATATGAAAATGTTAATACTGCGCTTGCAGTATTGGAAATATCCTTTGTGTTTAATAATAAACGAAACCATGCATTGAACATTGTTTCAGGTAAGTTGAATGTAGAGAAATATCCAGGAAATTAGCACTGAACAATCCTTACGACTTCGTCGGGTACCTGGGCCAATATGTGCAGTTGGTGTTTGAATAATCGAGTCAGGTAGCACGACGTGAAAGATTTTCTAGCGACGTTTGGATAATGTTTCCATCCAAAGATTGTCACCCATACAAGAAGTCCGGAAACCCATCGCCATTTTGAACAAAAAAAAAATCCCTGATGCACTATAATTGCAAAGAACATCAACTTTCGGATGCAATGTCATGCCAAAATTTATCAGAAATACGCGTTGAACTTCAAAGACCGGTTTCTAGTGGGACCCTTTGCTTCTACAAACTCTCAATTGTAGGACCCACAAAAAAACATTGCCATTGGCCCTCCTTTTGCTTGATTAGTCACAGACAGTCAACACGTTATTTTTTATGATGATAGAAACATTATATTTTAATGTTGCCATTTTCACACAGTAAAATGTTACAACGTCGTGAATTTTTTTTTATAGAGAGCAATATGCAATGAATTATGTACTTGTGTAATAATGTACATGGATCAATTTTTAAAAAAATTAACGACAATATTTAGGTATAAGGTGAAGCGTCATATTTTTGTACCATATCCTATCGACAGACAAGTGGACATGACCGAGAAAAAAAAAACAGAGACGGTGACAAAGGACAAAATGGACAACAATCAGACACACAAAGACACAACCTAGAAAAACACAAACTGGTATGAGACGAGGGCATACATCTAGATTCATAAATTATAACTAGTTATTCGAATAAACGTAGAAAAACACAAACTGGTATGAGACGAGGGCATACATCTAGATTCATAAATTATAACTAGTTATTCGAATAAACGTAGAAAAACACAAACTGGTATGAGACGAGGGCATACATCTTGATTCATAAATCACAACTGATTATTCGAATAATAATTGAGTAGATGAGATCTTGGTTTTTCAACAATGACAGAGAAGGAGGGTGATGATATTAAGAAGTCATCTAGACTATTGCAGTATGATGTACCACGTTGAATAACGTTATTTTAAGCTACATTTTGTTGTTCTGCTAAACTGGACATATACATTTCTCCTACTAGTGTTAGTCATTGAATTGTAAGAGTCTCAAATTCGCAAATAAAGGACGGGTATGATCACGATAATCAGCATGAGATATTAATCGGACCGCTCGCTTCTGTAACATGAGCAGTTTGTTGCATTTGGATGGCAAACCATCCCAAGTCAAAATTGAATAATTAAGATATGGCAAAATAAACGAATTGTACAAAGTTAGTTAGATTCTACTGTAGAGGTAATATTTTAAACGATTAATTATGCCATCATGTTTTGATATTTTTGTCACTATAATCAATATGTTTCCTCCAAGCGAGATTCTCGTCAGTAGTTATGCCCAAGAATTGTGTGCCTTTTACTTGACATTTGATTTGAATCGTTTAAAATTAAGGGAACAGATTGAGTGTATTTATAATGATGCGCACGAAAAATCATACAGTTCGATTTCAAAAATTAATGTAAAGTTTGTTAGCTAAGAGCCAGGTACTAATTATTTTTAATTCAACAGTATTCCACATTTTCTGCCATGACCTTGTATTTGTGTTAACACCGTGACTGGTCAAGTTCCATCAACAGACAGAACATGTATCTGGTAGGTGCAGCTGGCATAACATTCATATACAGTCAAGATATGGCTATCAAATTGAGAAGGGGGTCTCAACTGTTAAGAAAGTGTCCCTTGATTGATTTTGGCTGCTGTACTGTTTCGTGAATTCAAAAGCCCCAGCAGTCAGGTGGCTTGTAGTGGAATCGTTACCGACTTGTCCAAAGCAACAAACTTGGCATGTATACTATATGGAGCATACAAAGCATCTTTAGAAAGGGTGACAAAATCTGAACACTGTTTTGGAAGGGTACCATATCTAATTTGCAATATAAATCGAAATTGGCAGCTGCGCCATACATTTATGCACCCTTTTTTGTGTTTAAATAACATCACTCCCACGCAAAAATTCCATCTTATGAGTATGTTTCTGTTGTTGCAAATTTTCAAAAAGTATGTTTTGAGGTTTCTACTTGCATATTCTTACCAACAAAACATGTTCTAAAACAACTAAGTGACTGGAAAATTATGAAGTCATATGGAAGTTTATGAAGACATAGAGCACGTCTCCCTTGCTCCGACTTGGACACCTCTGACGGGACGTCCGCTAACAGACATCAATGGATCTTGTCGGTCCCCGTAAATTACTGTCGAGTAATTCCAGTTCCAAAACTGAGTCCGACACAGCACAGTGAGTCGGTAAGTTTCTCGGTTTTGACTATGTGTATACCACGTTCATGTATATAACACTCGAAGTAGTGCTAAGGGAAATGTGTTTGTCCAATTTAAAAGAACGTCAATGTAAAAAAAAAAACAGTGTGATTTATCAAGGCACCTTGTACTGGAATAGTTTAGATGATTCTCCTAAACTGTTACCCTCACTATCTGTCTTTGTCAAAAATTTAAAAACTCATTTTATCGAATCATATTCATAAATTGAAATGTTATATGTGCATTAATATTTAGGCCTTGTCTCACACACTTGTCCTATCTGTCTCCCGTTGTGTTTTGTCTGTCCCTTGTTACAGTACTTTGGTTGTACGTCTGTCCATAGGTAAGGGCACAAAAGCGTCTGCTTACCTGTCATATATATTACTACTGACCTTTCTTAAAGGGAATATACAACATTTGCAAACATCGAAAAATAAAACTACCAAGTTTTTGCGAAATACCTTAATAGGTTGTTGGTAAATGACAGTCTAAAGCATCCTGTAAAATTATGGCACCTGGTATACTGTCATTTTCAAGAAAAATTGTATTTTTGTGTCAATTTCCAACGCTGATCGGCCGATCAGCGTTGGAAACAACTGGCTTTTTTTCAAATACTGGCCCCAATTGACCATTGCACTTGTTTGCAATCGATTACAAACCTATGAACGGGTACGAGCCAGCTAGACTGGTTCCCTGACCTTACAATTCCCCAATGTATGTAAACTGCTCTGTTTCTTCTTATATGGAGTCAGGGAACCAGACTACAGGAAAATGATCGTTTTTCTTGGTTTTTATAGCATTTTCGAACCAAAAACCTCCAAAAAGTCAGTGTAACTATATTTGCTTTATATTTCCAACCCCCCAATTCCATCCATTTCTGAAAATTACAGCAAAAGCAAATGATGTATATTCCCTTTAATTTATACATGATTGTACATAATTGTAATGAATGACATCATTGAAATAAATGTTTCCAAACCAAGTCTGAAAAACTGATGGTCAAAGGGCAGTGGGGAGTGTTGTGTGCATTCCTGTCATAGCCCCAGTTGTCAGAAAGGTGTGTCACTAACACCGTTCCTACTACAGTGTAATAACATTGGGTTAAAATTATTTGAAAGTGTTTATTTTTTTTTTTTTGTATCTGAGATGATTTTTGTTCGTTTTACTTTTACATTGACTTTTTAGTTTTTCTCCAATGTTTTAAATGGTGATTTGAAGCAATGATTTAAATGGTATTATTTATATTAAACAACCTTGATTTTTCGATTGCTATTGTGTGAAATAAACAATAATATCAACCTTGAGTACAATACAAATGGTATCAATATGTGCAAACTTTAAATGATTATATTTTGTAGATTTGTATTAAGTATAATTTAATTTAGTGATATTAATCTTAACACAAGCATTTAAATGTCCGGTTTCTATTACGTACACTTGATGTAGAGAAGTAGGCCTACTACTGATTTGAATAATTGAAATTATTCACATTCAAAACATGTGCAAATTTAAACATTTGAAAAGTTTCCTGCATGTCAACATTTCAACTAAAATACTAATTCTACAAAAAATCTACGGCAAGCAAGTTTAAAGTAATTATTTCAGTACCTATACGGTCAACCTTGCCATTCATTCTTAAGGTAAAATTCGACACTTTTCTGCATCTTAACTTCTTCACACATTTTCACCTTTCATCGGGTAAGACTCGTCATCAGTAGTGTTCGGTGCACGTTCTGCCTTGTAAGTTTTGTTGAGATTCTTCCTTTCACAACCCTGCATTAAGTGAGAGCAAATACACAAGATACCAAGCTTCTTATATACAACATATCAATCTTTTTGCAAAAATAAGAGTAGCTGCGGTGACTTAACGTATGGGTTAATATATAATATAAACAAATATTGTAAAATTGAGAAAAAAAATGTTTCCTTATTTGGAGCCGCCTGATATCCAACAAGAACCAGATGTTAACCCCATACTCATTCCTTAACGGTAAAATAAAAATAAAAAAATAAATTAAATCATAATACACACGATCATCAGGTTCCACTTCTACTTTCTGGAGTAAGCCCAGTGGTACCTAGCTAACATAATTGTAATACTTTATTGTGTATTTTGTAAGTCCAATTCATTTTGCACATACAAAACAAGGATTTATGTGTACTTGTACTATAACTAGAATTTACATAAACTGAGTTCGAATGTCAACTGTGCTAAATACTTACAAGCCGGATAGATATGAAAGCGAAAATTAAAGCGGCGACCGTTACAACAATCAAACCAGCAATTAATCCAGGGGGCCGGGAGAGTCGTGATACTATTTCAACCAAAACCACCGTACTTTCTGAAAGAGTAAAAAGGCACTGATATACATTATCTGATTTGATTAAAATCAGACTTGTTTTAAGTAATCTCTGCATTACTTCAATTGGAATTGGACTGGGTTCAATTGATAGCTGATTTGTTTCAACTGATATGTGACTTGATAAGATTGGTACCTGACTTGATTCAATTGTTATCTGACTTGATTCCATTGATATATTTGACGTGATTCAATTGATGTGTGACTTGATTCCATTGATATATCTGACTTGATTCAATTGATATCTGACTTGATTCTATTAATATGTGATTTACTTCATCGATAAATGACGCAATTAGTCTACATCTAACTTGCTTCAGTTATTTATGATTTGATACGATTGACTTAATGACTTGCGTCTATTGATATCTGACTTGACTTAATTGAAATCCGAGACATACTTCAATTGGTATCTGACTTGATGCAATGGATTTCTGACTTACGTCATCGATATCTGACTTGTTTCATCGATATCTGTCTCGATTCAGGTGATATCTTGCTTGCTTCAATAGATATCTTAACTTGATTTAATTGATATCTTACTTGATTCAATATATCCGACCCACTTCTAATGATATGAGACTTGATTCAATTAATATCTGATTGGTTCAACTGATATGTGACTTTATTCAACCGATCGATTTTCTTTTTTGAATTTCGGCTTCTTGTTCACTCAAAAAGGCCTTCAAATACTCAATACGAATTCACAATTTATTTTTTTTTACTCTACTAAGTTCATTTAACGTCATATTAATTGTTATCTTTTGTGTCATTTCCAATTAAAACCGGGTCCAATTTCAACAGCTGATTTTGTGCTAACAAAGCCTCTATTTCATAGAGACTTTAAGCAGTAAGCGCAGTAAAACCGCGCTTAAAACCGGTGGAAGAAAGTTGCTTAAGGGAGTGACGTAACAAGCACAACAGTAGTGTGTTAGGGGTAAATCGGTATTAGTTTGAAGATTTTGTGAGGGGGATTAAGGATCAAGTTGAGGATTAAGTTCTATTTATAAATATAATAAATGCTTAGAAGGTTTAACATAGACGGCTGCGATGACATCACTTATCCTATAAATCCTAATAAATGTGGACGTATTAACGATTTATATTTCTTTTACCATAATGGCTTCTGCATTTTCTGTGCCGCTTGTATTCTTTGTTCAATCACAGGATAAAAACAAAGATACGCGCGACGTCTGCACACGACTCCAAACAAAAGACGAAGTGAAGGAAATAGATCGGATTCAGAGAGGTAACTACATGTATTCTATTTTTTTCTTATTTACCAAAGGCACATCTAGAGGTTACTTTAAACATTACAATAGTCTGTCTTAAACTAGGCCCCACTAGTCTTTAATCATCACTGTCTTCCTCTACCGGCAATGGGGTAATAGGGAGACTTTCCCATAGACTTGTGCACAAAAATTTTCAAAATTAAATGTGTCCTTACCCGATATTCCCTGGTCCTTTTTCCACGAATTTCGGTATTTTTACTAATTAGACCACGAGCAACAAATATATTAACCCAATTGCGACAACAAAATGTTGCGCCAATAGGGAGACACTTTTAAGCCCGTGTCTCCCTACTGCCGAATTTTCTACTTTTTAAATTTTGTTCATTTTTTATTCGTGATCTTCCACAATACCTTGATGAGTATCATTACCTGTCAGATGTAGGTAACTTGAAAAAAAATCCCTTTTTTCTTGGCTTGATCTTCACCCACACCACGTTGACGTACTTTTCTTATTTGTCACTCCACATTTCATCAGTCGCTTTTAGTTTCAAGATCATAGTCAACTGCATTCAGTTTAGATTCCGCTTCAGCATTTGTATTTTCTGCATGTCTCCGTATGTTATCTCCGTCCAAAACGTTTGTCACACTGGTGACAAGCATGGGGTTTCACAACAGGAAAAACGTTTATGTCGAATCTTAGAAAATTAATCTCTAAATGACAAGAAACGCATGATATCGTTTAATATAATGTGGGAAGCCATTTTGCGTAAACCTCCGGTCTTTGTACTCATTCACTCATTTCGTTGCCCATTTTACTCATTCGCTCATTCCGTTGCTCATTTGACTCATTTTACTCATTTCGATGCTTATATTAATCATTTACCAATTTTCGTTGCTCATTTTACTCATTCCGCTGCTCATTTTATTCATTTCGCTGCTCATTTTACTCAATTACTCATTTCATTGCTTATTTTACCCACTTCGCCTCTCCTTTTATTCATTTACTCATTTCGCTGCTCATTTTACTCAATTACTCATTTCGCTGCTCATTTTGCTCATTCATCCATTTCGCTGCTCATTTTACTTGTTAAGTCATTTACTGCAAACGCGTGTAAATGAGCAACGAAATGAGTAAAATGAGCAGCGCAATGAGTTAGATGAGCAACGAAATGAGTAAATAAGTAAAATGAGTAAAATGAGCAGCGAAATGAGTAAAATGAGCAATGACATGAGTAAATGAGTAAAATGGCCAACGAAATGAGTGAATGAGCACATAAACCAGAGGTATGCGCAAAATGAATAGTTGCATATATTGAACGACAAGCTGATTTACCCGATCATAGATCAGGTAGGGCGTAGTGTTGGGGATGAAATTGTGGAAAGTTAAATTTAACTGGGGGATATAGTTGAGTAGACATGCAGTTAAAGGAAAGCAATTTCTGTGTTGCGATCCTATGCAAATTCTGACCAATCAAATCATTTTCGAGTTTGGAGACATTGAATCAGGTATTCTGAGCAACTTGTGAAAAAAGTGTGCGGGTGTGTGTGTGAGGGGGGAACCAAACAATGTCCCCCGCTTCAAAATGTGTGTGTAGGGGGGGGGGGGGGTCCACCGATTGACACCCATAATAATTTAGTTACGTCGATTCAAGTCGATTCAAGGGGCGGCAAGCAAAGCATAGGAATGAATAGGGGCACTTGGTGGCCACGCACAATGGAGAACGGGGATTCCTGTGCAAAAACGCAGTCACGAAATTTCGTATCCTTCAGGGATTAAACTTCAAATATTCAACTTGAACGTTTTTCCTGTGGTGAAATCCCATGCTTGTCACCAGTGTGACAGAAGTTTTTGATGGATATATACACTACGGAGGCATGTAGAAACTACACATGCCGAAGCGGAATCTAAACTGAATGAAGTTGACGATGATCTTAAAACTGAAACTATTCGGTCTGAAAATTCTGACGTGGATAATTCTGAGGATTCGGAAATAGAAAACCGTGGAACTGAATCTACGCGGGATGAGGACGACTATTTCGAGGATGGCGATTTTGAATCCGAAGGAAGAAAAAGAAAAATTATTGGATGAAAATGAGTCTAGTTCTGAATTGGAAGACAATGCTACATATCAAGATTGGTTGGAAGATGCAAACAACGATTGAGGAAATGTAGAGTGACAAATATGAAAAGTACGTCAACCGGGGTATGGGTGAAGAACAAGACAAAAAATAAAATGGAAGCCTAGAAACCAAGAAAAAGAAAAGTTGCCTACATCTGAAGGGTGATGAAACTCATTAATGTATAGTGGAATATCTAGAAGAAAAAAATGAACAAAGGCATGAGAGTAAACAAAGCCCTAAACAGAGTAATACCTAAACACTGGACAAAATTGTACGGACTGTTCCAACAAGATGAAGTGAGAGATGAATAGGAACACGGTGATGTTAAAAGACTAGTGGGGCCTAGTTCAAGACAGACTATTGCAATGTTTAAAGTAACCTATAAATGAGCCTTTGGTAGATACGAAAAAATTATATAGAATACATGTAGTTACCTCTCTGAATCCGATCTATTTCCTTCACTTCGTCTTTTGTTTGGAGTCGTGTGCAGACGCCGCGCGTATCCTTGTTTTTACCCTGCGCGCGTGAGCGCGCGTCTTGGGACTTTTATTTTGCTTGCCTCTAATGTGTTTATTTATTGTAAAAATAGTGTGATTGAACCAAAAAACACATGGCACAGAAATAAAGAAGCCATTGTGGCCAAAAAAAATATATAAATCGTTGTCATTGCCAAATGTATCGTCTATGCCGTCATATAGGATAAGTGACGTCATCGCTGCCGTCTTTATTAAATATTTTAAGAGTTTATTATATCTATGAATAGATTGCTAACAATAACGCGGATGTACCTCGACGGTGAGGAGAAGGAGAACACGCGCCGCGCCAAACTTGGAACTCCTTTGGCATGCACAGACACCGCCAACGCCGCCGCCTTTATTAAATCTTATTAAATCTAATTAAATCTAATTATATCTATAAAGAGAACTTGATCCTCCATCCTCCTCACAAAATCCTCAAACAATAACTGATTGGCCCCTCACCTACTTCTCACAACTTTTCATGTACGCATCCTTCAGCAGATCCACACCGTGAAATAATGCTTCAGCTGAGCATGATTTTCTGCCATAGTTTAAGTTATATAATTGCTTAGCAGCACTTTGAAATCGGACCCATATTTCAACATTAGCCTGGCAACATTGAATGAACAGGGCCCAATTTCATTGCGCCAAGTAACAGCCACTGTTTTGCTAACAGATCCCTTGCCTATTTCATGGCGACCGTAAGTAGCAAGCACAGCAAAAACACGCATATCGGGCTTTTAATTGTCACGTCCCAATTCCATAGAGCTGTTTAACATTTAGCGGTAAAAAGTGCTAACTATTGCAGAAAACAATGTTGCTGCTATATGCACTATTTCATGGCGTGGACGTGCTAATGCATGAAGATGTCTATTGTTACGTCACTGATTTTAAGCAACTGTTTCCTCCTGGTTTTAAATTGCACTAACATGTCAGTTCTACCTACCTGGCTTGTCGGACTGAACTTCATCATAGGTTGCCGTTGTGGGCAGAATTTTGGTGATGCGTACTATCATGCGTGCGTCTCTGCCTACAACACCACCCAACGCATCACACGCATATACTTCGTTGTCGTCGATTGCCGCCACTTGGACAGATGCTGACGTTGAATAGGTATTGTTCCTCAACGACGACCCTGATTGATAGAGTTCAAATCCATCAATACATTTTGATAGATTTTGGAATTGACCAACCTACTTGAAAAAAAAGGTATTCTAAGGCCAAAAAAAATAAGTCTCCGGTTTCTGGTATGGAGCTTTTCCAAAAAGTGGTGCGGCGACGCGGCTTTTTTTTCTTTTTTTTACCTGACTTTTTTGCTTCAAATGTCGGCTGATGACTGCAAATGGTGCCCGACTAAACTTAGTGCAAATATATGGGAGTCCAGAGAGGCCACATAAGGCTTATTCTCGATCATAACCATATCTAAAAACACGTTAAAATTGTGCAGTAGCAGGATTCCAGTCAAACCAGTGAGTTTGGCGGTTTTGAGACATCATCTTTCATTGAGCGACGCGCGCGCATACCAGAAACCGGAGACTTCTTTTTTTTTTGGCCTAATGTAAAAGGAAAGAAAAGTCGTCAGTCAAAAAGGAGGAAGTTGCTGACTTTGAAAAGCCAGTTGAGCAAAGATTTTCAATGTGCTTTTATTTTGGTTAAACAAGTTCATGAAATCACATTCTATGCCAGCACAATACAGCAAGCCATGAGTGACCATTCGTGTTTCCGCACGTCTTGGAAACACGGGCGGTCAGTTAAAAGGAAAGATTTGCGTTCATCCCAAAAGTAACCAACTGAGTTATTTTCAAAAGGTTCAGGTGAATTAAAGATCACACTGGTACTAAATGCCCCGTGAAATAAGTTCCTTCTGGCTTGCTGCGCGGTCATTTAGAACCAATCAGGAACTGATTTTCAACGATCTGCCAGTGAATAGAAGTTGTGTTTCGTTATCAAAATATTGTGCATGGATTTTCACTTTTTCTTCGAAAAGTGGAACATCCATTCAGCTGTAATTTAAAAGAAAAAATGTTCAAAATGTTACCTGTTAACAGGTTAGCGTTTGAGCATTTTTGAATTTTGAGTGGTGTTATTATTGGAAATAAACATACAAATCTGCATGAAAAGCAAATAATCGTTTTTTTTTTTTTTTAAAGCATCGAACTATCAACATATGACTAAGGCACTTTATCAACATCATGAAACAGGTGAAATAATGACAAAATATCAATCCCAAAATTATGATCTGTGTGAGGCGTCGTTTTGAAGGGACCGTACAATTGGCACACAGCCCAGACAAATGTATACAAACGCCTGCACACAATGCGATATGCGGTGAACGAGCAAAAATCATCTCTTTCCGCCTGCACACCAAGTGTGAGTACCGTGTTGATAGATTTGTGCTTAAAACCAACATTTGAGTTTCATATGAGCGAAATTTGTATTTTCTGTACATTCTAATTTATATAATGCAAGTTCTCTGCTACCGCTGGTCTAGATTTTAGTTTATTTCTTGTTGACAAAAGGAGTGATTTGGGGGTGAATTCGTCATCGTAATCTCAAAGTTTTATTTCACCTTGTAAGTGTTGATTTATTGCAATACGACTGTTCCATGCCAGGTGCAATTTGGAAGGCTTAGTTCACAACACAGCCGTACACTGGCCAGGCGTTAGGGAAAACTTAGGGCACTGGTATTTAACTTTAATAAGGCATTGTCAACTTAGTACGGAAGTACTAAGTACGGAACTTCAGGAGTACACTTTAGGAAAACAAACTGGCAATTATGTTACAATTTATAGAGATCCTAGAAATTGAATCTTATATGCTTTTTGTTACACTTTTGTGAGCTTAAATTGTGATTCAGGTGTTACAATCCAGACCTACTGTAATTACATTTGTTAACAGGTTCTGTAACAAGTTAACGAGACCAGGCACGATTTGACTCCTGTTTTGATTTTTTCTGTTTGTCTTGATTGCCCTGGGTGTCCTTAAACATAATCATTTGAACGGACCTCTTTAATGGCGTACCCGCTAAAGTTTTATATATTGTATTTACTTTCTGCCTTCAACCTCGTGATACAAAGATTGTGTGCATTGTATCGAGATACCATACAAAAAGGTACGTTACATTTCCTTTTGAGGCCAATGGCTAGTAACACGGAAAACCAGGATTGAAGCACATTTCATTTCGTCACAATCGAGACGATTCGTTTTATTTACCACATTTGCTCGTCTACATTGCAAAAAAATGATGTCTTTAACTTAACATCTGGGCAAATGCGTTTTGCGCGGCGGATCCGTAACGGACCCGCCTCTTCATCGATGTCTTCCCTCGCTCCTTCCATGACTTGACGAGAGTAACTCTCTTAAACGGATTGCGCTCACATACCTTCCAGCGCCGAATTGAGATATGTTCTTAGATTTGATTAAGTTCCGTAAAATGCACGCAAGGTTGTAAATAGAGTGGTTCACTTATGATGATCGTTAGCTTAAGCATAAACGTTGGCTTACGCAAACTTCGCAAACAATGCGCGGAACTGTTGGTACGAGTTCAACATGATCGATTATCTGCGAGATAGCTTGAGTCTGTCTGGGTGTTTCTGCGAAATGTTCGAATAAAGTGTTTCCATAATTTTGTCTGCGTTTTACACTTTGGATCTCGTTGGCATTGGTCTCTGCGTTTCTTACCTCGATATGGATACTAGGCTTTAGTTGCAGTTACGCGTGCATAAGTGATTGAAACAAAAATTAAACAAATTGTTCCTTTCGAGGAGCATATCAGGAGATAGGAGGGGCACAGCCAAAGTATCGCAGGAATGAGCTACGAGAGAGAAGGCTGTTTACCAGTATAGGGCGGTAGAACTACAGATCTGACTGTTGAGGAAGCGTTGAGTTCCGTCAGCCCGCCCAAAAACAAACGGATCCATCTCAATTCCACGGCAGGTTTGACCTGCTCCATGACGCATGTTAGGTTATGCACCTTGCTGTCGTGTCGTGCTCTCACCTCGCACTTGCCTTCGTCGTGAATGTCTTGAATGCAGCCGATGACAGTAGGATATGGAAGCTTTGGGGAGACTGTTGGAAGAGAGAGTTGGAAAGAAAACAGTTCATGTGGTCGCCCTTATTGCTACCGGTGCTCCCATTAGTTTGATGATTGTATTGTGGCTGGCTTCAAAAACATCTGCCTGCCTCGCACCATTTAATCGAAAAGCCATGTTTGATGAGCGCTAAAACGGCTAATTATTCAGACTTAGACATTACAGGGTTTAATAACCCTCTGTACTAATTACCTCACTCAATGTGTACCGCAGTGCATTGCGGGACTGAGTGGGGGTCGCTGCACCGCGATCGCTATAGAAAGACATAGTATTGTGTATTTGGGTCTGATTTATCAGTTGTTTCGGTATATACAACGACACAGCTTTTTTTTTCTTTATTTTTTTTTTTTTTGCTTTTCCGTTTGAAAGCGGAAAAGCATTGTTTTGATTTTTTTTTTTGGGGGGGGGGGGGGCCTTTTCCACATAGTTGCGGAAAAGCCTTTCTTTTTTCTCAAAGTTGCAGAAAACTCGTAAAACCGCCTGCAATTTTCTGGGCAAAAAGTGCCGTGTGCAAAACTTGACGCCCTGTGATGTGGTCATTTGCATAAAAAAAGCCAGCATGGAAAACACGTGATCAGTCTAGTGCCTGAGCGACTGTTTTGCTGAACATGCAGTAACTGTTTATTGGTTTGTTTTGTAATGGATCGACAATGTACATTTGGTAATGGTACAAGTACAATAATGGTGGAGCTTGCAGAAGAGCACGAAAATGTCGCTGTGTTAATTGTAACCCAGAGTTAGTCACCTGTAAGAAATACTCTACATTAAGTACCTTAGCCAAGAAGAACCCACTATTTTCATCCCTCTCCCCCCAACCTTCAAAAAAAAACTACACACGTCAGTGTTTACTCTGGGTATTTTTGTGTGTGGACAAAAGGATTATACTATAGCGATCTCAATTTGAATTCCTAAATTGGATCAGGGGATGACTCATGTTGATAACAATAGGATTTGCTAATTAACTCTTGCAAGTATTCACCAGCAGCCTTAGCCCTGTACATGACATGCATGAGCCTGAGGAGTGTATACAACAAACAAATGTATCGTAGATTGGAAGAGAAGTATGGCCGCATCAATTGCTATGGCCATTCTTCAGTCCGTCATCAGTGCAACACGTACTGAGCTCGACGAATGCTTACCGCCGCCGCGCGCCATTTATCAAAACTTTCCACCAGTAGCGTACGTTCCGTACCTACGTACGTACACAACAAAACGCATGGCCGAACGCATTTTGACATTTCACGTAAAGCCCCTGTCACACTTTCGCGTATCCTAATTCCTTATGATTTCCTTATCAAAATTTTTCAATACGCAGCCGTACGCTCAAAACGTCGACATGTTTTGATCACTTTGACTTATGTGCGACGCACATCTAGCGTACAAGTAACGAATTCAGCGCATCCATTGCGTATGAGATTCGTATGAGTTGCGTATGCAGTGCACAACATTATTTTTCGGGCTGCGAATAGGTCAGTATGCAGTGCGCATGCTGAGCGTATTCCGGACGCACCCGACTTATGCCGACCGCATGCCTGACGCTATACGTCGGCATTCGCTAAGATTTTGTTCAGCGTGCGTTGTATCTGCGCTGCAAGTACGCTATTTATACGTCCAATATAGGCGGCTCATCATGCTGACGGGGTGCGTGCCGGGAGGTCAGCGTATTACTGCGTATGAACCGCTAATCCCCCACGAACACATAGCGTACTCGTACCGTGCTCGACCGATGCGGGACCGATGCATCGGTCACATTTAAGATGCGCTTTTCCCCATATGGTTTGTACACGTTTTAAACGATCCACTTTGGCAGTTTCATAAATCCGATCGACGTTAGACTAAACTGGGCAGGGTCAGTGTACGCCTCAGTTTGAACCAAGATAATATCCTTAATACACTTTCAAAACATTTCATAATTGACGATGTGGGAGCAATTCTTTAATCATTCGCAACTGTAGGTTTTGGGGTTTTTTGGAATCGGTAAAACAGTTAAGGTTTTCCTAATTTTGGGAATATTGTTGAAGCCCAGAGACCACTGAAACAGTCTATGAAATACAGAAGTCAGTTCTTTATGGTAGGATTTCGTGATTCTCGCTTAACATTTCTTTGTCGTGTACGTGAACTCGCTTGACCTTTACTTCTGGGGCTACCAGAAGGTCAAAGTTAGGTAAACTCAAAATGAAAACTTTAGCCTGACATCAAAACAAAGCAACGTTTATTTCAAACGCTTCAGGGTATGATCACAAAACCTTGTGTGAACTTAAACCATGCTACGATGTTATAAATTATATTACCTCATCATGACGTCATCAGGTATCAAATTACAAGCGATTTGAAGGCAAATTTTGACAAAATAGTTTGTGTTATATCTTTTGTACTCAATAGAGTATCGTGTTCGTTTTTTCGTAAGGTTGTAGACTATACAATTTCTGAGGAGCAACAATAAGACGATGATAATAAGCAACAATAAGACGATAACGAAATACTTAGTGAAACTAGTTAACTTTTAGCTACAGTCCATGCATGAGGCACAGTTATGCGTCCGAATGATCACGTAGTGAACTCGTATTTACGAGTTGTTTCGTACCAGTGTGCATACATTCTCGTATTCAACAGTGGCTTTTGTAGTTTTAGCAAATGCACACATTTGGAGGACTTTTATCCTTCAAGATATGCAATTCGTGTTCTTCCAAAAACTGAAAAGGATATGGGAGTTGCCTAGATACACTACACACTACAGATCAAACAGCATCATATCTTTGCCTTGTTGCGCGCGCACAAAAAAAAACACTACAGTGCGCGTACGCTGTGTCCCGTCCAAGGAGCCTTCAAAAGAGGTAAAAACGCGCCCTCTTTTGTTGGCGGACGGAGCCCATACCTAGAGGTTAATTTGCCCATATTTTTTTATTTAAGTCGGGCGCCGCGCAGATCACGATCTCTATTATACTGACTAGTATAATAAAGATCAGTGAATGCCTGTGTAGTTTTAAGTAGGACCCCTAGCGGTCCATGTGTTTATAATGTGTGTGGTCTGTGGGCCCTCAAAAGTGGTAAAAAACACGCCCTCTTCGTTGGCGCACGGAGCCCATATGTCTTCTGTTTACTGGTTTCATATCTCTATTTTGAAAAGGGGGAATTCCTGAGGTAACGGAAACATTTAAAGTACAAATCATTATTATCACACACTTACCCTTATCACAAACTTCAACCTTCCCTTTAGCAATCATTTTCAAATCCGGTTTCACTTGGAAGAAATAGGTGCCCGCGTCGGAGGCGGCAACGTTCTTAATGACGAGATTGAACTCGCTGTCGATATCATAGATGCCCTCTGGGATTCCGTTTTGGGGAGCTACTGTTCTTTTGGAGTTCGAAATCAACAGGGATGTACTGCTTATTGAGCCATCATACCAATACATCGCGACTACGTCTTCTGGCGATATTACTTGAGGTTTATCGAGAAAACCTGCCCATGGAACTGTCCCGTGGTGGCCTCGTTCTAGGAATACAGTTCTATCCTTAATTGCAAGTACGAATCCACCTGATACAAATGAACGACCAATATACTATGATTAAATCAACATGAAACAAAAGACATTTCACCAGCACTGAGTATAAAAACTTTTTATTGAACTGTTTGTATGTGTTTGCTAAAACCCAATTTAGTCTGAAACAATATATTCAGAAAATATACCACAAGCTAAATAATATCCAAACATAATTTGTCTCAATGCGAACCAAGATTTGCTCTCATGCGTGTGCATGACGCAGTATAAATGCTGGAGAAAGACGATTTTAGTAGTTCAAGAAATGCGGTGCAATGATTACTTAGCCTTTGGTCAAGTAAACTTGATAAATACGTGCAAACCGCATACCACGTGGTCCTATTGGTCCCTTGGGTCAGGGGGGCACTTTACCCCCTGACGAATTTTTTTCACAATCTTTTTTTTTTCCAGCAAAACTTGCCGGAAATGTTTATAGACTGCTTCTGACATTAATTCCACCAAAGAAAACGCGCTTAACAACCATTACAATGCACCGTGATAATATCCATATAATATGTAGTATGCATACTAATGGTCAGTTTTGAGAAGCGCCCCCATTTCTACATTTCGGTGCGGATGTGCGTTCCCCCCCCCCCCCCCCGACATCAAAAGCTGGATGCGCTGCTGGCGCGCATGCAATAGCGTTAGGGAGTGTCAGTTCGTGAAAACAAAAATTGACGCGTTTTGGGAGAGTGCGCGCACACATTGCGCATGCGTGCGCGCACTCTCCAAAAACACGTCAATTTTCCTGTTCACGAACTGACACTCCCTAACGCCATTGCATGCGCGCACTCTCCGAAAACACGTACATTTTTGTGTGCAGGATCACTTTGTGGTTACAAAAAATACCAGAATTGACCAATTTCTTGAAAATTCATAAGTAAAATTTTAGATGATTTCAGCAATCTTACCTTCTTCATGTTAAACTTAATGATACAAACTGCTAATATGTGCAAAAAAAGAATTTGAATTTTTAAAAATTGTGTACACATGTGATGCAGAGGGTGTCAGTTCGTGGTGTCGGATACGATTTTCATAACGGGTATATTTGTATCATGGACAACACTCCTTTATAGTTGCACTTGTTATCCAGCCACCCTCCCCAGGCTTCGGTAATTATTGGTAGCCTAATAAGATTAAAAAATAAACAATTCACGACTTGACATGATCAAAGCAGCTATATTACTGTCCGCAAAATGAATTTATAATGTGTGATTACTTACAGCACAGTAACAGGGATACCAATCGCATTCTGACGTCAGTTTGCCGTCTCTATTATGGAAGTAGAAATGCAAATGTCATACTCAATTAATTTGTTAAAGTTTTTCACATTTTCGGTTGAATATTTGATTTTCATCTTCCTCTGAACTTTATACAAAATTCAAATAATAGTGGCGCGGCATAGGGACAGAAATGTTCATTTTGTTATAAAAGCGTGAAATTTGGCATGTGAGGTCTTCATACCAAGACAAAAACAAAATCAGATATGAGCGATGTTGAGTTGCTCGTCTTCGTTATTGTAACGATGATGGACGCGATGAACTCTGGAGGTGGCGGGTTGCCATCCAGAATGGAATTCATGACTGGAAGCGTTAGACTGGCTATTGGCAGCAGCCTTGTGACATCAGAGGGTAATAAGCCATTTGCGTGTTAAATTTGAATAAAATCTGGAACGCTGACTTAATACAATGCTTTGCACGTTTTAACCTAGCATTCTCCCGACCAAAGAGACTGTTACTATATCACGTGATTCGGGGCAAGCCTTATGCTAGCAACCCCCAGCTCCGGCATGGTCTGGTGTCTTTGTGCCATTCTCACCCATTGTGAACGATGTATTGGTGCTGAGCGTCTCTTACGTAACTATGCAAGAGCTTGCCCCGAATCATGTGATTAGCAACAGTGTCTTTTGTCTGGAGAATTCACAGTTAAAATGTGCCAAGCATTCTCAGCAAGTCATTGTACCAGACGTTTTTCAAATGTAATTCCAAAGGGTATAGGTTACACGCAAATGGCTTATTGTCAGGAACCCTTGCTTTGCTGCATAGTATGGTAATTGTGCCGATATCAATGGCAGGTGCATGGCCAATTTGTTGTATGGTAATGGTTCCAAAATGACTGGTGAATGAGGGGCGTTGAGCAAGGCACAAAAGTGGTTGTGGACTTTGGAAAGTCGATCTTCGATAGAGTCAGCTACTTCACGTGCTGGTGGGCTTGCATCTTTAATGTCATCAGACTGGGAGCCAAGGCGGTAAATGCTTTGCGTACGGTAACCGGTTACAGGCTCCACGCACGCAAAATATCGCTGCAATGCGTGTAGTCAGGTTTTTGTTTTTTAGTTTTTTAATTGCCGCGACGTATGTCATACCAGCTTTATATGGGCTAGATGCAAAAGTCAAAGAGGCCAAAATGATGTTACTGTGTAAAATGTATCATTTGTTTCGTGTATTTTTTTTATAAAAAAAAAGAAGAAAAAGGAGGCGGCTTCCAAAACGTTTTTTTTTTATTTGCACTAACATTTCACAAGTGACTAAGACAAGATAAGTTTGCGGTAGCACCATGTGAATAATTCTCCTTTCTGAGTATGTATGATTCTGAAAAGAACCGGAGGGACTCAACGTTTTGAACAGTATGCTCTGCACGTCGTCAGGAGAAGGAGGGATTCCGACGATGATGCGATGTTATAATTTTTCACAAGTGACTTCGACATTCTGCCACATGCAAGTAGATTGGACCAAATGGCATTTTTATAAACTCATAATATCATAAACCATCATAGTTTATCTTTATACAAAAAAGTGATGTTTTAAATCCTGCCAGATCGCGCATCAATATATATTGAAGTAATCTGTCCAATAAGGCCTACACTAATACGTCTGGGTTTTCCCAAAGTGGTCTAAAGTCCACACTCAAGTGTTTTGTTTGGTCCGCCGTGATGCAAAAGTCCACAAAGTTGACAAATCAATGGGTGACTTGTTTCCTTATCAAATGACGCGATTTCAAGTGTTTACAAGTGTTATTCTTCGCTCTTCATCTATTCTATGCAAATTAATTCACCTTTGAGCATAGTGTACACATCGTTTGCTAGAGTTACTCCAATAAACTTGCAAAATGTTTGATGAAAATTTGAAATGTAACCTAGAAACTGTATAAGTGTCTATATTCCAACCCTGTGGCACCATGGAATGTTGGCAGAAAAGCAAACATTCCTCGACTCAAGGGCATCAATAACACAACACCTGAAGAGCAATCATTTCACAGGTGTGTGTTGTGCCCACTGCACATACCCAACCCCAACGCTCAGTTTAAAGCATTCAGGATAAACAAAAAGCAGGATAAACACAAACACAGAAAATTAAATTGACACAATTTTAAGTAAGAATGTGTACCTAGTCAGTGAAAACTATCGTTGACAAGGGCGAAACGCAATGTAAAAAGAAAATCAGATTATCGATATGAGACTCTTTACAAAATGTTTTATTTATTGACAAGTAGCGCAGAATCAGTGCCAACACTTCGTGACAAAAGAGATATGTCCATCCTGTACTCGAAGACAAAAGAATTCAGATATGGAGGCATTTCATATCTGACCCATGGCGACCTTTAAGGGGTCAATGACTTTTGAATACTCTTTTTATAACTATCGTTCTTGAAAATATCACTTTCCTATGAGGCCAAAAAAAATAGTCGGTCTCTGGTCAGACCGAAGTTCGGGAATTGACGCGGCGACGCGTTGGTTTTTTTTTTGGTTTTTTTTTTTTGGTTTTTTTTTCTTCAAGCTTGGAGTGTACAGACAAGGTGGGGTACTATTTTGCTTTTTTTTGGTGTCCTCATGTTCATTGGTGTCCTCCATAATTTGCCTTGGTGCTCTCGATCATTTGCCTTAGTGCAATTTCTCATTCCTTGGTGCTCTTTGGTAAAAAAAAATGAGGAGGTGCAGCAATAGAGGGCGCTGTTGGAACCTCCGCGGAACATTTCGGAGAAAAAAAGTCTGACGCGCTTGATTAAAATCGACGCACGCGCTGACCAGAGACCGACTTTTTGGGGGGGCCTAACCTAAGTCTATGTATGGTCTTCATACAATGTAAATAACGACCAAATTAACGAGAGTCCACGTTGGTTGTTGAGCGATGTTGAGTTGCTCGTCTACATTATTGTAACGATGATGGACCCGATGAACTCATCAGAAGGTGGTGGGTTGCCATCCAGAATGGAATTCATGATTGGAAGCGTTAGGCTGGTTTTTGGCAACAGCCTGGCAAAATCAGTTATTAATTGTCAGGAACTCTTGCTTTGCCGCATGGTATGGTTTTGCAAGCCTTGTGTAGTTCTCTATCGGTAATTGGGCCGATATCAATGGCAGTTGCATGGCCAATTTGTTGTATGGTAATGGGTTCCAAAATAACTGGTGGATGAGGGGCATTGAGCAAGGCACAAAAGTGGTCGTGGACTTTGGAAAGTCGATCTTCGATAACATGTCCCTGACGTATTGAGAAGAACTCCCCATGTAACGGAATGAATGGCGTCAAATGAAATAACGTCAAATGCAAGTAGATTGGACCAAATGGCATTTTGATAAACTCATAATGTCATAAACCATCATAGTTTATCTTTATACCAAAAGTGGTTTGTTTTAAATCCTGCCAGATCGCGCAACAATATATATTGAAGTAATCTGTCCAATCAGGCCTACACAAATACGTCTGGGTTTTCCCAAAGTGGTCTAAAGTCCACAACTGAAGTGTTTTGTTTGGTCCGCCGTGATGCAAAAGTCCACAAAGTTGACAAGTCAGTGGGTGACTTGTTTCTTTATCAAATGACGCGATTTCAAGTGTTTACAAGTGATCTTCTTAGCTCAGCATCTATTCCATGCAAAT